GGAAAGTGATATTTGCATTTTTAGCGTTAGCCTAAAGCTGCATGTGTATTATTCGAACAAGTACGTATGATTTCGAAAGATTATATATTATTTTACACAATAATATTTATAAGGTAAGTACTCAATAAGTACACATTTATAAAATAACTTTGTGCTTTCAATTTGAAGGCGTCATTTGTACAGGGTGTCTCACGGCCATATTTAAAAGTGAATAGGGATCCGAAAAAATGATAAAATTTTAAAAAAATCATAAAGTTGCCAATTTGTCATTTCACGAGCTAAGCTGGCAGGAATTTCTCTAATGCTTTATGGGACACTTTTATAAAACAATAACTGGCTAAAATCAACCATCTGTCTTGACAAAATCTTTCCTTGACAAAAATTTCAGGTGAAGATTTAAATGTGTGAACAAATATATATCTTGGATTCTTTCTGGGTTATTATTGAAACTAATTACTAGTCAGTTTCAACAAGTAAAAATTAATACATTCGAAATTTTTTAGTTTTTAGTAGATTTTAATAATATTCTGGAAATATATTTGTTTTCTGTAGGTTTTATTTTATTTTATAACAGTGACTCGTTAATTAGTTAATAGAGGAATTTACTTCTCAAAAACAGAATTGCATATTCTATTTAAAATAGACGAGTTTAATTGGGAATGCAGAAATTAACAATGCAAACATTCAAGTATCAAATTTTTTTTTATTCTCTAAGTGTCTTTTAGTCCTTAGGCCATCGTGGGACATCCTGCAGTTCTAATTGCGTTAATGTTAATTAAATATTACATCAAAATCTTTTGAAAAATGAATCGCTACAAAATATCAAAAGAAAATAAATAATCTACATCAACAAGTTCCAAATGGTAAAAATTTGAATTTTAACTTAATAGAAATTGAAATAAGAATCTACACAGTGCGTGTTATGTTAAATCACATACTGTCTAATATAGATACATGTTTGAATTTTAAATTACAAAAAGTGCTGTTTTCCTATTTTTAAGTTAAAAAAAATCTATAAAGTCGTCATTAGGCGTAAAGTGTATTCCTTACATTACTCTGATTGTTAATGACAATAACGATTTCTAATGAAAAATAATTGCAAATATTTATTACTGTATAACAGTGCCTTTTCTAGGTACATGTTGCCTCGTTAGTATTAAAAAGACGTTTATATTATTTCCTTTTTCTCTTTAGTTGTTGCGGTAGGACTTATTGTATGTGTATATCCTCCATAAGCCTGAATTACAGTTGTAGTTAATCTTGGATAATGAGTACTACATCTGGTACTTGTTAAGTGAGTGTAATATATAAGAATAATGTACCAAAGTTTCACAAATATCGTCAAAATGGTCAAACTAATTGCTGTAAAAGAATAAATAGTTTAGCCTTAAATGGTTTTATAGAATGAAACGAGAATGCAAATTTTTGTTATAATTATTGTCCTAAATCAATCGTTGAACCACGTGCCATTTAGAGTGCAGATTTTAATTGTTTTCCTGTTTGAATTTTTGTTTTATTTTCGTCATATCTATCATCATCATAAGGAAGTCAGTTCTAAGACTGGTTTGACATGCACCTTCACTCTTTCCTAGTAAAGTGATAAAGCCAAAGAGTGTAACTCATAATGTCAGAACTAACTGTGTAATGTAAAATAACAACGTAATGTTCTTGTGATGCAGATTAGCGTAACGACCTATCGTACGTTACGTGTCTTAATTATATTGTTTTAGAGCATAACAACTTGTCCAACAAGCGACTTGGCAGATACGGATATAAGTACTATTCATCATCATAAGGTCGTCAGTCCTAAGACTGGTTGGACACGAACCTTCACTTTCACCTATCCTGAACTAAGCTTCATATTTCCCTAAAACTAAAACAACCCACATCCTATTTGCGAGCAGTAAGCTAATCTAGGTCTATCTCTTATCCTCTTAATTCCTGCTTCAACCTCTAATATGTCTTTGACTAGACCTTCATGTCTGAGAAGGTGTCCTACCAACTGATCTCGTCTATTTCTTATTGACTTGATTAATACCTCTTTATTTCTACCTCCTATATCCACAGTATCCTCATGTTTCTTCTGCAACATCACATTTCGAACGCTTCTAATTTTTTCTTTTCCGCACGTCCACTGCCCATGTTTCGCACCCGTACAGCGTCGTGCTCCAAACAGCGTTTCTCTAATTTCTAAATTATCCGTTCGCGAGCATAGAAGTGACTTCTTTTTATTGAAGGCGACTCGACCCTGCGCTATTCTCTGCTTTATATCTCTACTAGTCCTTCCGTCCTGACTTCCTAGGTACCTAAAATCGACCACTTCTAATTTTTCGTCTCCTATCCTTATATTCGCTCTTTCCCTACTTTTTCTTCCTTTGCATACCAGTATTTTGTTTTACTTTTATTTATTTTCATAAAGTACTGTTTTGTCAATACCGCACCCATTTTATTTAAAGCTACCTCTAACTCCTCCTTGCTAGATGTTAATACTACTATATCAACTGCAAATCTAAGCATACGAATTTTTGACTCTGTATATCTATCCCTACGGTTGTACTGTCTTTAATGATGTTGATCGCGTTTTCGATGTATAGATTAGAAAGTAGCGGTGACAGTGTGCATCCCTGTCTGATTCCCTTCCTAATTTTTACTTCTCTACGTTGCTCTTTATACAAACTAAATATCTCTTCCATCTTTGTAACTCATCCCTACATTGTTGAGTATATTTAATATCTTGTCCTATTTAACATTGTCAAAAGCTTTTTCTACATCTACAAATCCTATGTAGGCCCTCTTTCCTTTTTCTATCGTTTTCTCTATTGTTACCCGTAAAGCTAGAATGGCCTCCCGCATTGTTCTATTTCTTCCAAACCTAAATTGATTTTCCCCTAATAGATCTTCCGCCCTATTTTCTATCCTCCTCTGTACAATTCTAGTTAAGATTTTTGACGCACGGGAAGTTAAGCTAATTGTTGTGAATGTCTCGCACCTAACCGCGCCTCTCTTTTAAGGTATGGTCACTACCACGTTCCAGTTATAATCCTCTGAAACCTTTCCCGCCCCGTAAATGTGACTAGCTAGCTTAAACATACGATCTCTAACCTCTTGTCCTGCATACTTTAGAATTTCCCCCTGTAACCCATCTACACCTGGCGCCTTATTATTCTTTAAGTTTTTTAATGCTACATTGAACTGTTCTCTCATTATCATCCACTATCTTCCTTCTCTAATATATCTCCTAACTCAGGATCTGCGTATAGGTATTCTAAATATTCTTTCCACCTATATGTCTTTTCCTCATTTTCTATCAAAATGGCCCCGCCTCGTTTCTTATATTATTACTACTGTACGTACATATCTAAAATTCCTTTTAATTATATTATACACCGCATCTGTTTTACCTACTTCAAACTTTTCTTCTACTTCTTTACACATCCTACCAATCCACTGTTCTTTAGCTGCCCTACACTTCCTAATTATTTCCAACTTTATAGCTTTATATCTTTTTTACCCTTCTTCGTCTGCTCTGTTTTTGTATTTCCGCCTTTCTTCTATTAATCCTAAAATCCTCCGCCGCCTTTAGTATTTCGTCTGTACTTTTACTTAGGCTGTCACGCTTTTCACTACATTTTAGCTCTTTAGTCAAGACGTCTTCTACCTTATCTCTTTTTCAGAATTTTGAATTTAAGATTGGTCTTCATAACTACTAAGTTATGATCGCTATCTATATCTGCTTCTGGATAACTCCTACATTCCTTCACTTGATTTTTAAATCTTTGCCTTACAAGTATGTAATCTAACGAATATCTTCCTAAATCACCTAGCATCTTCCACGTATAGCGCGTCTTAATGTGATGGTTAAACAGAGTATTCGTGACGGTTAATAAGTTATGTTTATCGCAAAATTCTATCAGCCTATCTCCTTTATCATTTCTATTATCTCATCCAAAAGAACCTGCTATTGCACCCACTTTACCTTCACTTATTACTGCGTTGAAGTTTCCTACAACTATTACGTTTTCCTGCCTTTTCACTAAACCTAACACGTCTTCTGTATCTGCATAAACCGCTTCTACGTCTTCATCACTGTAAGATGATGTAGGCATGTATACCTAACAAAAAAAGAATATAATTTTCTAAAATCTTTTTGAAAACATACAGCCTCCGTAATTTTAGTGAAATGGTCCTTTCATGGTTAAGTCACAGATCAGTAAAGCCGCGACATGCATCTATTCGACACCCAGATTAGTTTCATTGGTGAAATTGGAATCCAAAATTAATCAGAGTTCCAGTACGAAAGATGTGTAGGAGTGTAAATCACTGACAAACGCGCGTTCAGAATCAGAATTAGAAACCAGACTGACTGCTAAATCTGTGTATATATTGTAAATTGTTGGGTGGTGGTTAGGTGACAAAAATGAAATGGACCACATGAAAACGAAAGACGAAGAGAAGTGAAAGATAATCTGTGGAATATTATTACTGCCTAAGTGATTCGAGGAGAATTTTATATTAGTTTTGTATTCATCTAACTGAAATAAAATAAGAATATATGCTTCACATAAGGGCCAGCAGTAACTATTTTAGTACTTAGGGTAGTACAGATCACGAGGATCGGTATGGCACTCTGATGCACAATACTGCGATGTGGAAGGCAACGCGAAAGCACCACATTATGATATCCCAAGTAAAATAAATCGAAACTCGAATGATGATGTCCTTTGGGGTAAAGCACTACGGACGTAAACTAGTCCCATTCGGAGGTTCGGGCAGGGACTACTTCAGAGAATGTCATCAATAAGTGCAATATGGGAAGGTGCAATATTTCACAGGCGAATGATAAGGATACCGCGGATAGAGAAGGTTAGAAATGAAGAGGTATTAGAAAGAACAGGAGAACAGAGGACTCTATGGAAGTTAATAAGAAATTGCGAGATAGATTAGTAGGACACCTTCTCAGGCATAAAGGTCTAGTTAGAAACATATTAGAGGCAGAAACGGAAGTTAGCAGGGGTAGAGGTAGGCCTAGATTAGATTACTGTTCGCAAATAGTTAAGGATGTGGGTTGTTCTAGTTTTAGGGAAATGCGAAGATTAGCTTAGGATAGTGGAGGTGCGTGTCCGACCAGTCTCAGGACTGACGACATTATGATGATGATGCTTCACATAAACTGCCGGAAAGCCGTGGTGGCAGCGTCGCGTCAAAATCGCAAGTATGTCACCGGTCTTAAAAATGAATCAAATGAAGTGAATACAATATGATCTGATCTAATATATGATCTCTGAAACAGCTGCTGGTTTATCCTGACATAAGTATGTCTTTTCTTAATAATGATGTGCACTCTTTTTATAATTTCCAAAATTATATGAAACTTACTGAGCATATTGAAGCTTAAAGTAATTCCTGGTAGCATTTCCAAGTAAGCTACCAAAATTCCTGAAATGATCAGCAAGTACGAGACACCGCTGACTAATATCCACGGTAATACGTAAATTGCTTTTCTTGTAGAAACTCCATAAACTAACATAATAGAAGTTGCTAAGTTAATACAGCCTATGTATGTGCATATTGACATTATCCATACCATCACTAGAAAGTACAATATTTATGATTTAGAAAATGTAAATTTATTTGTTCTATAATTGAAGGTGCAGTATGTTTATACATTAAGAAAGGGTCCAAATAAAATACAAAAATTTTCATTATCGGTTTAGTGTGTGGAAGAGGACTAAATTCGAAATAGTGATCAATTTCTGGTAGTTTCGATAAACTGTTGTGCAAAATTTAAAGATTTTTATCTCTGTATATATTCTTTATTAATTTTCCGATTTGGAAAACATTGGGTATCTAATTATTTTGTATTTGAAATGACACTATGACCGTCACAAGTAAATTTTTGAAACTAATTAGATAATAAAATTTAATTTAAAATTTTTTAAAAGAGTTCACCGTTTATTTAATATTTGTATCATGAAAATGATGTCATAATCTTAAAACTAAGTACGATACCTACTCAAAAAGTACCATACATATACACTATAATACTAACAAGTTGATATACTCACTGTGTGACGAAACAATGTTGTCGTGTTTACAATATATTTTCGTGAAACTTTTTTGTGTGTTTTATTTTAATAACTAATAAGTAGTTATTGACTTAAATGACTGGTACTTTTGAGTAAAACAATAATTTTAAAAATTGTTTATTAGATTCTGAACCATTCTCCCTTTTTATAATGACAATAGGTTAAGAATGTCGTATTGCAACATGGTAATGAGTAATGACAATCACTTACTTAAAACAAAGTGTTCTGATAAATGCAATTTGACTTCGTTAGGGGTAAGAATTTCTTTTTTGGTATCAAAATCATATTCACGCTTTTCTTGTTCATCTGCCAAATCTCTTTCCAATAACTTATCAATCTCTTCTGAATGAATTTTTCCCAAAACAGCACATGTTGTTAAAACTGCAGTTATAACCTGCAATAAATTTTTAAAAAAGATTTTTTCAGAACGAATTCAAACAATCACTTGAAAAAAATACTAAGCAAAAATAAAAAAAGTTCACTTTGTATTTGATTAAAATGTAACTATTATGGTATCGTTTACTGTGCATTAATCTGTATATTATGCAATGATATGTATTATGTGTATATATAATTTTTAAAATGTGGCATGTTACATTTGCTTTTTCGAGAATTTAATCAAAAGTGCATACGTATAATATTAAGTAAACGTTTTATAATTAATTCATATTGTGTTCCCTTTCTATAAAGCCACTTTTTGATATTATTTTGAGCATTTCAGCTATCCTACTTGAAAAATACTTACAAATATTAAAATGGAAGCTAATAAAGCACACTGCCACAGCGAAAGACAAATTTTGCTGAAACGTGTACGACTGATTTGATTTTTCATTTTGATTTGATTGGTATACAGATTAATTTATATTTCATTCCATTACTTTAGTTTAATTATAATTATTTGTTACTATCACTGCACCATTTCGAAAACGATCTTTTTTTGTCTTCATTTAGCGCGAAACCTTGATGACTTCCCGTACTGCTTTGCAGGACTCGACAGGACTAAAGGGAAAATCAATATATAATTCATAGCTGAGTTCACCAACGTTGCATTTTGCGACGGGGTTATTTGATGGGAGTAAATAAAACTCCTTTCCGTTAATTACCGTATAGCGTAGGAGAATTAAGGTTTCCCCTCAAAGTAACTGGAAATTAATCAAAAAAATATCCTCATGTAGTTTATTGGAGCCTATCACCTTTCTCGTCATTATTTTTTATTGGCTTGATGCGTCCGGAACTTCTGTTGTAATTAGCACAACTTTGTTAATTTATATAACCATTCTCTTGGTAAATACTTGAAGGACTCTCCAGGGAGTCTAAATGCTCCTGGTGCATTATTGGCTTTCATTTCATTGGCTTTGTTTGTGATATCGTAAACAGTTATTTTTGCATCAAGTTTTGAGTGTTAGTCATTTAACATAACTGACGACATTGTTACTTTAAGCGTTCAAGAAGCGTAGAAGTTCTTCAGCTCCTCTGGAGTGATGGGTGATATTGTAAAGATTTTCTTTTTGTATTTATATATTGCTTTCCAAAATGCTTTAATATTTTTGGCGTATCTTATTTCTTTTTCTATTGTCTTAACTGGCTCTTCTTTGACTTTATTAATTATTTCGAGAAAATCTTTTCTTGAATTGATGAAATATTTCTTTATCGTTTCATCTTTGTTCTTAGAACAATTTCTTTACAATTTATTCCCGACATTCCTGACGCTACAACATTTTCTGTGTAAATAAGAGTGGTCCTTTTTCTTAGTTGTATAATCAAATGGTTTCGTCGTGATTCTGCTCTGCAATGAGACATTTTGCATCGTATTAGTATTGTTAGTCTTGAATTTTTATTGTTAGAATGTACAATTCTTTAAGTTTCTAAAAATGGCGGCACTCCTATGACATCATCTTTAGTTCTGTCATTAAGTGTTCGTTTCTAATTCTCTAATGTTACTTCTACTGTCATTTATTGTGCTTATATGTCACTTAAAGCTATAATACTGGATTTATACAATTTCAATTCTAGGTTTGTCTGCCCTGACCTAAGTTTTTTGTGGTTTCATTTGATTATTTAGGTAAATGCAGGGTCAGTAATTAGATAATCTTTCACTTTTTTCCTGTCTTTATTTCGTTAATCTAATTAGCCTTTTCTCTACCACCACTTACCCTTTCCCATGATTCCAGGGATTGTTCGCCTACCGGTATTTGGTAGGAATGCAATATCTAAATGCTTTTTTAGGTGACGAATTAGTTAAACCATCATATGATGAAGTCGCAGTATGTTGAAACAATGCCCAAATCGAAAAATTTCATGCGTTGTAAGCCTAAAATTGACAATTTGAACTACTTTACTCCAAAATTAGTCCGATGTTTTCCTTGATTTCGGCTTTATTACTGTATTTCTCCAGTCCATCTGACTCATAATTCATCTTTTTTCTTCGCTCGTTTGAATATCATCTTATTTTGTCGAATATATATTTTAATTAAATTGTGACACATAAATTCATATACTACAAGTGGGGTAATGACAATGTGGTGGATTAGTATTTTAAGGGCTGTCAGTTAGAGGCCCCGGACTGAAAAAAATTGTTGAAAATATAACTGATAAGCTAGAGGTGTTTCCGATATGTATGGACCATGGAATAATATAGGGACAGAGGCTATTACAGAGGATAGGGAATTTTGCTCCTAAATTCATCATGGCTATATTTTGAATTATTCGGTTAATTTTGAATTACGAGACAGTTATTAGTGTAATTAATAAATTGTCCTTTTCGCTTGTTTTTGGGCAAATTGCAATATATTAAATTATGGTGCTGTGTGTGGTTATATCTTGCAATAACAGACGAAAATTAAAGTTGTTCAACACTACTACAATAATTCTATATCAAAACGTACCCTAATGACAGTTCTTGTAACACAGAAAAAATACTTCCTTGTGAATTAATTTTAACAACAAATTTTTGGGAACATCACTGTTTCGGCGCAAAAGACTATTGCCGATATTTGTAAATATTTTAAACTTATAATCATAACATTTATTTGATCAAGCAGTAGGCATTACATTATTATAGGCTATTAGTCGTAAGTTGGTCCTAAGAAAAACCCCATAATCTGTATATATTTCTTACCCCCATTGTAAATAGTTTTATTACCTCTTTTGTACCTCTCATTCCTGTATACCTACCTATTAGTCATTTGGAATTTTCAATCACTATTCAATATTATAAATACCTAGTTTGTAGTTCTATTGAATTTCTTAGGACCAGGCATAATTTGTTTGTGTGTGTGTGTTAGTACACACAATTCTGGTTGTTGCCCCTTCCATCAGAAGGGTAACATAAATACTAAAATTTGTCAAAAAAATAAGGAGTCGTAGTCGAAGTCGAAGTCGAAGATTCGATTCGTTCTAAAACATTTCAACTAAAAACTCCACTTTGAGTTTCCAGAGTCTAAGGTAGACTCAGCTGAGAACAATTCTCATAATCAGTTGTTACTTATGTAAAAGTGTAAATAAATGTACATATACATTTTACAGTTCCGTGTCTTATTTATACGGTGGTCCTTCGATCAGGTATTTATATATGTGGTACAGCAGTACACCCGTTGAGAAAAGATATATTGTTTTAATCGAACCTCAACAAAAAACATT